TTTACAACTGGTGCTGCTCTTTAGTCTACACTCTTTTTTGTGAAATACAGAGACAATTTTGAGCAAAGCCTTTGGGAAAAGAGCTTTACTCAAAATCACTAGTCCTCTGTCTAGCACAATGAGAGCAGAGAATGCAAATTAGTTCCAATAAAAGCAGCTGGCAATCAATAGGGAAGGGCTGGACTCCAAGAGTGAAACTGGCTCCTCTGAGGATAAGAGTTAAAAGGGGGAAAATATAAGAAGATGAAAGCAAAGAAAGAGCAAGTGTAAACAACACCTAAAAGGAAAAAAAAAAAAGGAGAAAAATCAAATGAAAAGAGGAGTGACAAAGAACAGTTCTGGGGAGAAGTTCCACGAGAAGGAAACCCAGAACACAATTAGAGTGCAGAGGAAAGGATCATTAGGAAAAAAAGCCTAATGGAAAGATGTGCAATTCACACAGAAGATGAAATGAAGATCATGAAAGCAAAGATAAGAGGCTAGCTGGGACAATGGCTTAATGTACTAGTCACGAGCTCAAATTCCAGCCTACATCAAACATGTTATGAGCCTTGATAACGAGTGAGTCTCAGCTTCCTTCCCAGTGCCCATCTGGCTAAATCACAAAGCCATTGTGTGTACTTGTCTCTTTGTTCTATCCGCCACGCTAGCTATTACCTGTCCTAACCAAGCACCCACTCTCTAGTCAGTTGTATCCTCCTTCTGAACTCAGCTATCTCATGAAGTCTACCATTAACAAACCACAGCAGCAAACGCTCAGGCAGCGCCCTGCCGCCACCCCCATAGAAACTGTTCTGTATGACAGAAACTTCCATCGAGTTTCCCTGCGTATCTGATCTGTACCACCTGTTTAGACAGCAGGTTCAGGAAATAAATCCTCCTTTAGGTTACAGAGAGGATACCTAATATTATACATGTGGAAAAATGGTGCTACTGGCAATCTCTGCTCAGGAAAAACCAAAAATCAAGTCACAGCAGCTACAGGTCTGGACTGAAGGGCATTTTAAAAATGCGGTGTGTGAAAGCTCACCTATTCATTGCTTTCTACCCACTCACCCTAATCTGGCTCTAGTATAGCTTTTATCAATATCCCACACAGAAAGCTTAGCTAACTTTAATTCTAAGTTGCTAAACTGCATATCCCAGCAACAGTGCCTCCTGCAGAAAAAAGCACCAAGAAAATAAACAGCAAGGTCATTCAATGGCCCTTTCAACCTGAAGGATCCCAAAGCATCTTTACCAACACATGCTACAAGATTACATCACGACAACACTAAATTGCAGCTAATTCTTCATTTAAACAGCATGTATCCTTTTTTACTTAGGTAGGATACCTTATTTAGACTAAGAAGTGATCTTACCTCTCCCTGAAACCTCAAGGGAAAATCTAATCAACACAACATAGTTATTTATTCAGATTAGATTTTGGCTAATATTAACAGATGAATTGGCCAAATCTATTAAATATAAACACTGGTATTATCAAAACTGAAGCAGGGAACAACTTTGGGCATCACCTACTCTGTGAAAGGTACCATTAGGCTTTTAATGGCTGAAGTGTTTGAGACCATTTAGACCCTTTTGCTTTTAAAGCACAAAGCTCTCACACACGTACACATGACAAATGATAAAGCTGACATAGGAAAAGAACAAGGGGGGCAGGGGGGGGAAAGTAAGACAGACCAGATTAAACAAAAAGCAAAAAAGTGCAAAACTAACTGACTTGGTGGGTAGAGGGAATCAGACCAATATTAAAGCATACCACATTCTCAGCCCCTCAAGACTCAGGTCTACCTGAAGGCCCAAAGCAAAAAAACCCAGAAAGGCTGATTTCAACTTCTGTGACTAAATGAAAAGCATCCCCACAAGCATCCAAGGTACTTCGTCATCCTTCATTCATGTTCAGCAGTTGTTCTGGTGTTTGTCTAGATCAGGAAAAAATTTCCCCACCTTAACTGCATGGATACAATTTCACCCATACAAACACAGGAGCTTACAACCAAGTGGAAGCAGTCATACCAGCACTGATTTCCCTATGCTAGACTAGCTCTTAGACTTCCAGAGCTGTGGACAGCAAGGCCCTTCCATATGAGAATATTTGCTGGATTATGAGCTCAGGGATCATCAGTGGGTCTCACCCGCTGACTTTGCTCTTCTGCATAGGCTGCACAGCAAGAGAATTACTCACCTTTGCCAAGAACATAATGAAAAGGTAATACAAAAAGACAAAGGCAGCAACATGGCTAGAGCAGCGGTTCTCAACTGGGGATCCGCAGCCCCTTGTGGGGCCACAGGCAGGTGTCAGGGTGTCCACACTGCCCCCCAGCCCACCTTCCCTCCAGGGTAGGGCCGTGGCCTGAGGGGAGTGGCAGCAGCAGTAGCCAGGCTATGGCAGCAAGGTAGAGCCGTAGCCTGGTGCACAAGTGGCTGGTGACAGGAGGAAGTGAGAGCAGTGGCCCCCATGCCCCCAGACCATTATGCCTTCCACTGCTGGTGACACGGTTGATGCAAGGGTCCCAGTGGTGGCAACAAGTCTTGCTGCCCCACTCTGCCCTCCTGTGCTATGTCCTGCTCGCTGGTGTGCCAGTCCAGCCAGGCTGCAGTCCCGTGCACTGTTGGCACACAAATCTGAGAGGACATGTACCCCCCACATGCCCCTGCAACACATCACCTATGCCCCCCACCCCCCCCATACTGGGTATTCAGAAAAACAGTTGGTGTGGTACAGGTGGGCTGTGGAGTTTTTATAGCATGCTGGGGGGGACCTCAAGAAGAAAAAGGCTGAGAACCCCTGGGCTAGAGAATACCACACGCAAGGGAACCTCTCATATGTAAAATGCCATTTATGGATAAAGGCCCATGTCTCTATTTTAGGAACTGCTACCATTCTAACAGTATTGCTGTGCCCAGCACAGGCATACCAGGGTTGGACGGGCAATACAATAGTTCCTGCAGTGGCCAGCTCATGCCCTCGCTCAAGCACTTGAATTAGCTTTCAATATTCCCGGTGTGACACCTCATCAAGGATCTGGCCATCTGCCACCTGTCCAAAGACCATAATGGAACTGACACATCTACCCCACAAGTGTCACGGGAGGTAGAAGAAAAGCACTCAAAAAAGTGAGTTATGAAGGCAAGTTAAAGTTGAGCCAAATGGACCACCCCACCCCACTTCTGGTCACAGCCAGCCACATAACCTCCTAGCACCACCACTGACATGGATACAAGAGCTTTGCCTACAGAACCAAGGCTATAAACAGAAGTTGCCAAATGAAGTGGCTCAGCTGAGCCAGGATGCATCTCACTCCACTGGGAGAACCAGACCTAATTCACTGTCTTGCAGGGTCAGGCCCCTGCTGCTCCAGTTTCCCTGCTTGCAGGGACACACCCCATGTACATCTCTGCAAGGAGGGAAACCCTAGCACACTCCTCAGGCTTCAGAGGCCCGATCCCCAGGAATTCCCCATGCTGGATCAGGCCCCTGAAGCCTTTGGAGCACCTGCTCAGGACAGCTGGAGCGCGCAGGCAGCTCTGGCTTGCCCATACACTCCTCCCTTAAAATAAACAGATGTCTGCTGCAAAATAGCAGCACAAATTAATACTTTTTGTTGCGGTCCAAGTTTGAGCCTTTGTGGCACAACAAAGGGCATGGATGTTTGTTTGCTTTCACTTTGTACTGTCATAAAAATGTTTATGGAGGCACAAAGGGGACAAGCGTTTCCAGCCCAAGAAGTCTCCCACAGGTACCTTAAAGTGCGCACTTCCTCACAGCCCAAGGTGCTGTTGGACATTCTGGATGCACCCTGCAGTACAGGGGGAGAAGCAAGAAGACCGCTCAACTCTGTGAGCCACAGAAAGACGCTGGATAAGGAAGTGACAAAGACATTGTCAGGAGCTCTTTGCAGGGAACAGGGCTGTAACTACAGCAACATAAATGCAGCCCAAACTGATGCAGGGCAGGGAGCAGGAATTAGTGGACAAGAACCCCTCTAGACCAGGTCAGTAGCTAGTTGTTATTATATGTGCTGCTGAGGTCCGATTTACCAGTCCTGGGCCAGGCAGAACTTTTCGTCTCTGCAGAGAGCTGGACCTTACACCCCTAGATATCCCTATAGTTCTTTGAACACCATCACCCCCATTTGTAAAATAACTGATATAACCTCCTTTGAAGGCAGAAATGTCCCCTTGCTCTGGTGGTCCCCAGTCGCTCTCACCCACACTGCAAATGGCAGCTACCTCTCTCCATCAGCCCTGTTCTCTGTAATGCTCAATAGAGGTTATTCCCCTGGGCAGTTTCTCTACTTTTAGCTGCTGCTCCCAGTGCTGTGCATGGTGTGGCCTGTACTGCAGCTAGCCACTTGTCCAGCCTGGAGGCAGCAGAGACATGACGGTGAATGAAAAGATAGGGGATAGAAACAAACACAGAAACTGCACTGTAAAATCAATCATAAAATAATAATTTCACTGCAATACACCCTGTATCAGACACCATGGCCAAAAGATTTATAGTGCATTGTGTTGATCGTCCCATAAGCCAGATCGTGTCACCTAATTAGCATGCTGCTCTTATCTGCATGCAATCACATTTCACTCTCTTTCTATTTAATGTGTGAAAAACAATCTGAGGCAGAAAAACATTCTTTAGCATATTTTGCCAGCAAACTTACCCAGGCCACAAGTGTTGGGGAAACAATCACATAGCCATTCCCATCTGTTGCTCTGCTCATCTCTAAAACAGCAACAACAACTGAGCATTATCTAACCACATACTGGTGCCTAACTGGCCAGCCACTGTCCAAAAGTAGCCAAGGTCACATGGAAATCTCCACCCATTCTGCTGCTCTGGAATTATACTGCAATATCAGCACTAGCCAAGCACAGGAGTATGAAGGTGCTGAATGTAGCCATGTAGCCACTGCTACAGGTCCCAGGTCTTAAACAACTCAGTCCCACCAGTCTGTGTTCATGCAGATTCGCTTGTATGGCATACAGACGCCTACCTGGACAGTGCTGAAAAATGCAGATGTCAGCTTCTCATCTTAGCTTCCAAGTATCCAGTAGTACTACTGGCATGCCCTGCAGCCGCCTTGTGCTCACTGTTCCAAAGCTTCAGCAAGAGAGTTTTCGCTGAGTAGCGTGAGAAAGCTGTTGAAAAAAAAGACTGGGAAAGAGCGCTGCTATCAGAATTTCTCGGGGAAATTACTGGAGAATCCTGATGGATAAAGAAAAGTTGTTCTCTGCTCCCAAGATTTCCCTTCCCAGGAGGCGTTTTTAAATCTCCCACAAGCCAAAGTAAAAATTGCAACTAAAGCTGTGTGAACAACACTGTGACGTTGGCATTTTACACCGCTCTAATTACCAAGAGTTTAGTTTGCTAGCAAAGATGTGACCTGAAAGTCCAAAGCTCAAACACGGTTAAGAAACCTATTTAATATACGTTAGGTTCTCAGCTATACCACAAGTGGCATATGTCGTAACCGGGCCTCCAAAACGGCGCTCGCTACGATGCAGTTAGTGAGAACTGACAAACAACCCACAAGGGACAAGAAGACGTACAAAAAACTAGAACTCTTGGTTCCAAAACGATACTTTTTATTAAACTAACTGGAAAACAGCAAGAAAACCGTCCTTTTCTGTAAGCTTTCAGGATCAAGGTATCATTTTGGAACCAAGAGTTCTCGTTTTTTTGTACGTCGTTTTGTCTCAGACCAACACAGCTACCAGGTACACCCCTGAAACATGGGACAAGCACGTTTTGACGCTTGTTCTTCCTAAGAACTCAACTTTTTAGCACAAACCAACTGCAAAATAAGTAGCGACCTGCAGCCTGAACCCAAGACAAAGGAGAGGGAGAACCCTGTAACGTCGCCTGAACGGACGCGGCACACGTATGTTAGTCAGTGAATCGCCGGGGCGTTCAGCCGGGCAAAGCAATCCCGACTCGATGGAGGGGTGACTCCGCAGTGCATCGAGACCGGCAACACATGCAAAAAAAAGCAACTATCGCTGAGGGAAGCGAGGAAGGCACCTGGACTGGCCAGGCGGGCGCTGCCCCCCCCCCGCCCCCCCCCCCCCGGGCCCGGCGCGATCCAGTGCCACCGGCCCCTACGTGCGGAGCAGCGATCGCGGCGCGACCTGCACAACCGCGCGGTGCAGGGCGGGGGGCAGCGCCCGGCCCGGCCGCTCGCACCGA